TGATAAAATACATGGTAGTATCTCTACTTTTTTTGTATTTGCTAAGAGTTGCTTTGTGGAATAGTGTATGGTCTATTTTAGAGAAGGATCCATGTGCTGCTGAGAAGAAAGTGTATCTGCTTGATGCAGGTTGAAATATTCTATATATGTCAGTTAAGTCTAAGTTATTGATTGTATCATTGAGTTTTATAGTTTCTTTATTCAACTTTTGTTTCAAAGATTTATCCAGTGGTGAGAGAGGTGTGTTAAAGTCACCCAAGATTATTGTGTTGTGATCAATTTGACTCTTGAACTTGAGAAGAATTTGTTTGATGAACATAGTTGAACCATTGTTTGGGGCATATATATTTATGATTGTTATGTCTTATTGGTGTATAGTTCCCTTGAGCAGTATGTAATGTCTGTCTTTATCCCTTTTGATTAACTTTGTCTTGAAGTCTACTTTATTTGATACAAGGATAGAAACCCCTGCTTGCTTCTGCAGTCCATGAGGGTGGTATGATTTTTCCCAATCTTTCACCTTCAGTCTGTGTATGTCTTTTCTTTTTTTTTTTTTTGTTTCAACATTTATTTATTTATTTATTTATTTTTCGGCGGACACAACATCCTTGTTTGTATGTGGTGCTGAGGATCGAACCCTGGGCCACACACATGCCAGGCAAGCGCCCTACCACTTGAGCCACATCCCCAGCCCTGTATGTCTTTTCTTATCAGATGAATCTCCTGGATGCAAAATATTGTTGGGTCTTTTTTTTTTTAATTCAATCTGCTAACCTATGTCTTTTGATTGGTGAGTTTAAGCCATTAACATTCAGGGTTACTATTGAGACATGGTTTGTATTCCCAGCCATATTTGTTTATTTTTGTTATTTAACTTGACTTGATTTTCTTCTTTGATTAGTTTTTCCTTTAGGGTACTACCTTCCTCTGCTGATTTTCATTGTTGTTTTTTGTTTCCTCTTCATGGAATATTTTTCCAAGGATGTTTTGTAGTGTCAATTTTCTAGCTATAAATTCTTCTAACTTTTGTTTATCATGGAAGGTTTTTATTTCATCTTCAAATCTAAAGCTTAATTTTGCTGGATACAAGATTTCTTTCAGAACTTGATTTATGTTGTTCCAGGGTCTTCTAGCTTTCAGGGTCTGTGATGAAAAATCTGCCATTATCCTAATTGGTTTTCCCCTATATGTAATCTTATTCCTTTCTCTAGTGGCTTTTAAAATTTTCTCCTTATTCTGTATGTTGGGCATTTTCATTATAATGTGCCTTGGTGTGGATCTGTTGTGATTTTGTACATTTGGCATACAATAGGCTTCTTGAATTTGGATTTCCAATTCATTCTTCATGTTTGGAAAGTTTTCTGATATTATGTCCTTGAATAGATTGTTCATTCCTTTGGTTTGGACCTCTATGCCTTCCTCTATCCCAATAACTCTTAAATTTGGTCTTTTTATGCTCTCCAATATTTCTTGAATGTTCTGTTCATGTGGTCTATGTTCTTTTCAAGATTATATATTTTGTCTTCATTGTCTGATGTCCTGTCTTCCAAGTGGTCTACTCTGTTGGTGACGTTTTCATTTGAGCTTTTAATTTGGTTTATTATTTCTTTCATTTCAAGAATTTCTGTTTTTTTAAAATACATATTTAGTTGTAGTTAGACACAATACCTTTATTTTAGTTATTTATTTTCTTTATGTGGTGCTGAGGATTGAACCCAGTGCCTCGCACATGCTAGGCAAGTGCTCTACCACTGAGCCACAACCCCAACCCTCTGTTTTTTTTTGTTGTTGTTGTTGTTTTAAGAACCTCTATCTCCCTGTTGAGGTGATCTTTTGCTTCTTGAATTTGTTTATTTACGTAGCTCCTTGTTGAAATGATTCTTTCACTGCTTGTATTTGCTCTCTTATATCTTCCTTGAGTTTACAGAACATTTTAACCATGTACATCCTAAACTTCTTCTCTGTCCTTTCTCCTGCTGTGGCTACCAATGATTCTAATGATGTGGTGTCTTCATTTGTTTGAGGGTACTTTCTTCCCTTGTCTTTTCATGTTGCTCATTGTCTTCCTTTCCAGCTCTGTGGGTCTTGATTGTTATTGTGTTTTACCCTATAGGTTTGAAGTGCTCTTGTAGGGTTCCAAGACCTCACTTTTGTGGGGAAGGACAATGTTAACAGATCCCAATATCAACAATATACCACCTTTGAACAATTTGTTGTTATTAAGACATTTATAGTTTAGTCTCAATGTACAGAAATGTTGGATTCAATTATTATCTAAAATACAATCAGTAGTTTTGTAAAAAGGTTTACAGTTTCTTACGGTGGACAATAAACTGGGGGTGGGGCGTAGGACGTTATGCTGAGGAGGTAGGATGTGAGGATTTAGAGTTAATATATCTTAGGAAGTGTGAAGGAGAAATCTAGTGAAGAGGGTTAGTAGCAAGAGAATAGACAGGAAGTAATTTAGGGTAGGAAAGTACGTGGGATGACAGTAGAGTACATAAAACAAACACACATGTATTTAGAAATACAGATGTCAAAACAGTAAAATTTGGAGGGGGAAAGAAAAATGAAAGAATAAAAAGGAAAAGAAAAAAAGGGCATATACAACAGCTCTATATTATATTATTCAAATGACTCAGACCTCAAAGACCTAGTTCATGCAAACTTCTTGGTTTCACATATGTTAAGGATGTAAGGGCCGGAGGATGGAGGGATAGAAGAGAAAAAACAAACAAACAAAAAACTCAAAGGAAGAAACCAGGGTTGTAGCTAGCTTTAGAGATCCGTATCTTTCCCTGCTTCTCTCCCCATTCAATAGGTGGGGTCCTCTGTTGTAAGCTGGTGTCTCTGCCATCCAGATGGTGGAGGTAACCAGGGTGGGAAAACTGGTCCTGGCGCAGGGTACCTGGATGTGGGGAGTAGCATCCGCCAGTCCCTGCAGGGAGACTGCACCTCACGGGTCTCTTTTTGGGACCACTCATATGACTTGAGCCCCGGTACTATCTCCTTCTCTTGCCTGGAGATTTCCCAGTTCCTGGTCTGTTAGGCTCCAGACTTTAGCCCTCTCTCCCTCTCCTCTAGCCGTTCCCAATTGAGGAAACTCTCACCCCGGGGATCCCATGGGCAGCTCCCTGGTTGCACCGCACACCTGTGTTGGGCAGCTACTGTGTTAGATTACCGCCGCTAGAGACGGGGAAGGTTGGAAACCTGGTACCTGGCCCCTGGAGATCCGATCTGGAAACTGCCCCCAGCTAATATGGCTGGAATGTTGAGCCAAGGTGGCGTAGGTCTGTTTTCAGTGCCTGGGTGTTGGGAGTCCGGCGATGGTGTTGTGCTGTGGTAGGCAGCAGCTGAGTGACCTGTGTGGGAGCAGAAGTCTTGGCGATCTGCAGATGTGTTGATAGGTGATTCTGCTAAGGTGCTCGAGGAGCCTTGTGTGGGCTAGAACTTCCAACTTTGGGTCCTGCTCCAACCAGGCGTCCTACTGGAACTCTGAGGTCCAGAGCCCTGCAGGGTCACAGCGCTGGTGATTTCTGCGGAGAGCAGCTGGATAGGGGTCCTCTAACACTCTCAGAGACGGAGTATTCTGACTAGGTGAGATCTGCAGGTGCAGAGGCGAGGGGCACAGGGCGGCTCACTCCCTTCCCTCCGCCATATTCCTACCGACCCTGTCCCTTGACCAGTTCTTGCAAGGTTTTTATCAGGGGCTCAGCCTGGAATCTGCCCATCTCTTGAGTCCTGAGATGGGACTTCCTGTCTATTCTCATCCTCCTGCCAGGAGCCCAGTGAGTCTGCTGGAACTGGTACACAGGCCAGCTTTGATGCAGAGCTGGCTGACCTGCCTCAGGGGTGGGACAGTCAGGGAGGAAACAGCAGAGAGGCAAGGGAACAGGGCTATAGGCCCAAAGTTCAGGGACTCCTCACCTCTCTCCGCTTCTATAAAATACAGTCAAACCAGGTTATATTGCTATTCATGAACTCGGACTGGGAACAAAGGAGATGTTTTTATTTTCACTAACCTTGAACTGAAATGGAGCATCTTCTGCAATTACATATGCAGTCACACTAACAATACTTGTATTTTATTTTTTCAAGATAAAAGCCAGATTTTTTTTCTATCATATACAGTTGCTGCTACCTCAGGATGTCATTTATCTCCTCATTACTTCAGTGATCAGTAGTTCCTGGTGGATTACCTGTCATGTTTGATCTAAGAGCACATACATTCTTAAATCACAATTGTTTTAATTTTGATGTCTCGTTATAATTGTTTTCATCTGTAATTTCTTTTTTTTATTTCAAAGTTATCACAAGTGGTACACTTTTTTAAAAATTTTTTATTTATGTATTTAAAAGCCTTATTCTGAGAGGGAGGCTATCCATTACCTTCACAGGACTGTTAAAAGAGTCTATAGTTTAAAAAAGTAAAAAATAAAAAGCAACAGGGCAAGATCAGAGTAGATCTCTCAGGTGGCTGTTGCTCTGAAATGGTAGGTTCATTTTGGCACCCCCAGCAGAGGGTTATGCCACCCTATAACACCTTAGCACCAGTCATTCATAGTCATTCACTAAACAGAGTACCTTAATAAGCACCTGCTACCCCTCAGGCCTGGTTGCAGTGAAAGCAGTTGCTCCTACTATGAACTGAGCACCTACCTGTACAGTAACGGTGTGGGGAGATCCCCATATTGGCGAGACCCTGACCGGATGAATGAGGCGGAAGCCCTACCCTTAGGGGGTTGCTGGGGGCACCCTCACCCCTCCCCTGTTAGGGGAGACAGAGCGCCAATTGAGCTTGGTTAATTGCATCAAGAAGGATCAAAGGCTGCACTAGAGAGGTCAAAGATCCAAGTCCAGTGCTGTGGCTGCTAGTTTGGTCCTGAGGAAGGACATTCAAACTGGGACTCAGACCACTGAGGCCCAGTGGCAATGCTTCCAGCGAGACAAGCCCTGCTCCCTTCTGGAGGCCAGCACAGACACCTCCCTCTCTCCCTCAGACACCATCGAGCTCCACATCCGGTCCCAAGGCCAGTGGACAAACAGACTGTATGAGTCTTTCAAGGTGTCAGACCCCGTGGGCTATGATTCCAAGAGGCTGTCAAGGAGCTTGAGGATGAGAAGGAGTCAGAGGAGACCCCAGGTAGGTGGCTGCAAGGGCCCTCTATGGAGGCAGACCCTGGGGACCAAGTCACTTTCTTCCTGGTCAGCGGGAGCAGCTGTTGTGCACACAGTCTGGAAGGCAGCATTAGTGGGCTAGGCAATGGCTGACTGTGTGGTCCAAGAGCCTCTTCGAAGCCTGACCACCTCAGATCCTTCCATCCTGATTTCCTGCACTAGAAAAGGTGGGGAGCAGTGGAAGGAGTGGGGTAACTGAGACCAGAAACATTCTGACCTCCAAGTCTCTTGGACAGTACTCTCTAACTTTGTCTTGTCTGTCAACCTAACTGAGCCTGTTATTTTTCTTTGAAATGGAGATAGTTTTCCTCCATGGCTCACCCTTCTCATCTTATCCCATTAAGCACTGACCCAAAGAATGCAGATGGAGTATTGAGGGAAATGGCAGCATGGTCCAGGTGGGCCCCTGGGTCATCATTACCATCAGCAGTAACAACACTGTTACCTCTGGAGCCTTGATGAAGCCCATAAAGCTGCCAGGTGGCTAGTGCCAGGGAGGGTTTGGAGAAACAGAGTCTGTGCACAGTGGCCCACATGCCTGTCATCCCAGGGACTTGGGAGCCTGAGGCGGGAGGATGGCAAGTTCAAGGCCAGCCTGGGCAACATAGTTAGACCCTGTCTCAAAATAAAAAATGAAATGACCTGGGGGATGTTGCTCAACAATTGAGTCTCCTGGATTCAATCCCTAGTACTGGGGGTGGGGGGAGAGAGGAATGGGGACGGATCAGAGCAGCTCCCCAAGAAATAAGGATAGACCAGGAAGCTGAGGGTAGCTGAACACGAGACTCCGCCTCTTGGTCTGGAGACTAGTTAATATGTGAGAACCCTGCTGAAGGTCAAAGGAGGAGGACTCACTGACCCCCGCAAGTCCCAGCGCTGCCTTCAACATGGGTGCTGGGGGAGTGGGGGCACCAGGTAGAATCCTGTCTGGCCAGAGGAGAGGATCATTCCAGAATGGTGCCAAAAGCAAAACTGTGGGATGTGGAGGAAAATGTAGGAAAAAGAAAAGTTCTCTTCCAGTAATCAGAGGAAACTTCCTGAAGGAAGAAGCTGACTTGCAAACCGGATGAGCCATGGCACACTGGGAACCAGCAGGAAGACACACTGCGGGTTGTTTCCGTGGGACCTCAGACCCTGCTGCCACAGAATAAATTGGCACAGTCTTTCTGGCAGGCAGTCTGGCCATATGTGTCAGCATTTTAAATATGCACACCCACTGGCCCAGCAATTCCATTTTTAGAGATTTATGCTAAAAAGCTAATTGGACAGGTGCACAAAAAGCCCTATTCATTTCTTTAGCAAATATTTACTGAGCGCAGCACCTACTGTTCTCCAGGTTCTGTTCTAGATGCTAGAGATATGTCGGTAGGCAAAAGAGACAGCACTGCTGAACTTCTGGTGCAGAGGCATTCGTTGAACAGATGAAATGCACATGTAACACGTCAGGCGACAACAAATGCTATGCAGAGAAGTAAACTAGGGTCTAGGGATAATGACAGGAAATGTGCTATTCCACATCGCATGGTCGCTCATGATAATGAGAAAATGAAGACAGTCAGAAGGCCCAGCAACAGAAGGCAGCCAGAGAAATTACTGATCACCCTCATAATGGAATAGTAAGTTGTCTAAGAAAGATTATGGAAATTTCAACTTGTTAGTATGGAAAGCTAGAAGTGGGAAAAACAGATTGCAAAGCAGGATGCTCCATTGGTATAAAATAAGTGTGTGTGTGCGTGTGTGTGCAGGTGTGTGTCTGTGTGTGTGTGGATATGTGTGCCCATACACATGTGTATGTTAGAAAAAAGTGTCCAGGGGCTAGGGTTGTGGCTCAGCGATAGAGCACTTGCCTAGCACATGCAAGGCCCTGGGTTCGATCCTCAGCACCACATAAAAATAATAAATAAAATAAAGGTATTGTGTCCAACTACAACTAAAAAATATTTTTTTTAAAGAAAAGAGTGTCTAAAGAGCAGAGAAAATGTTTATGGTAGCTGTCATCCTGTACTTTTTCATTTTATTGTTTAATTATTTCTATAATATGTGATGTTTTTACAACTAACAGGAATTGACTCTGTAATATTAAAGCAGTTTCTGTTTTGAAACAAAACAGGATTTGCAACCACAGCCCAGCCACTCCTGTACCTCAGCACAGGATGCTGAGTCCTCCAGCAAGAATGTTGCTATGGAACTGATGTCCTACAGGACGGAGGAACCACAGTGCCAGGGGGACAAAGACCAGGACCCCATAAAGGCTGAGGAAGGGACCCCAGCATGGTGGGGAGCCTCTTCTCAGGGCGGGGACCTGGTAAGGCCGGGGAAGTGGAGGCTGACATGTCTGCCCAGGGGTGCTGGGTCTTGGCCTGGCATCCTTGGCTTCAGTTCAAGCCCAGTCTCAGGCAGGACCCACATGGAGTGGGGTTTCTGCAGCCAACCATCTGCCTCCACCCTTGTAACTGTTGCCATATTCACAGCTCATTAGCAATATTTTCTACTTAATATTCTCTTACATCACCACAGTACTCTAAACTGTATTTAAAAAGACTCCTTAGATTGCTATCTTTAATGGAAAATCAGTATTGTGTGCCATAAACATGCTAACTCTAAAGTAAAAACAATGAAAACATGGTATTAAATTCTTCTAGATGTTTCTGCCTGTTGAGGCTCCGCCCACAGGCCTGCTCCCTGCAGGTACACACTCCCTTTCTCACTTTCACTCTCCCTCTCCCCTTCTCACTTTGTTAAAAGAAAACAGAGAGGGGTCGGGGAGAGGTCTATCAGCACTCTCTAAGAAATTAGTCTTAAGGAGCGGTTAAAGATGTGTTAGCCAGAATTGAAGTCTTTCTCTTTGCTATCAGAAGGATTAGAGAAAATTGAAAGGGGAGCAGCCCTCTCCCAGGTACCTCCTAAACCCCCACAAGCAGTTTATGTCCAACACTAAGCAGTCCCCACCCCAAGATGAAGAAGCAGCATGGTGTAATGTGACATAGGATGGGTCACAGGAGACCCAGTCTCTATGTGGAACTCTGGGGAACTGGGCAGTCCTTTCCACACCCTCAGCCTCAACTCCTCTGAGGGAGGTATCACAGGCTCCTGCAGCCTGTTCTGCATTCTGCTTCCTCCCCTTCTAGAAGCAAGGGTGTTGACCTGTATGTGTGTCTGGCCGTCTACCTTTGCTCAGGTCTGGAGTAGTCAGGCACTGCAGGCAGAGCCGGACCCCACCCAGAGGGCCGGCACCAGCCCCAGGGCAGATCCCCAGGCCCTCGGTACCTTTCTTTCTTGAAGCACCTGGGCAAAGCCTCAAAGAGGAGATGTGACTTCAAATGAGCTGGACATGGACCAAGGCACAGGGATTTGACAGCCGGGGAAGAGCAAAGGGGCTCTAGGCAGAGGGAAAAAAACATTCCATCCCAGACCTGAGAACATGCAGCTAAAGGTGTGATTGAGTCTTCCCCAGCCTTGCTCTGGGGCTGACTCACACTGAATCCTACAAGTTGATGGTTAAATTTCCCATTTTGTGAGCTAGTTATTAAACACGGTCATATGTTGGGAGCTATGATGGCAGTGCAGTTGTCCCTCAGTGTCCAAGGGGGATTGGTTCCAGGACCCTCCTGGGTACTAAAATCTGCTGAAGCCCATAAATAAAATCATGTGGACTTTGCAACCTATGTATATCTTCCCATATACTTTAAATGGACATTTACATATGTTAATAGTTGTTATACTATATTGTTTAGGGAATAATAACAAGAAAAAATTCTATACATGCTTACTACAGGCACAATTTCCCCCTAAATATTATCAATCTACAGTGGGCTGAATCTGTGTCTGTAGAACCTGTGGATACGGAGGGCCAATGGTATTTAGGCCACAGAAATGGACATATGCTAATCTCTTGGTGATTGAGATCCCCCCTGCCCCCCACCAGGAGCCAGTTTACCAGCACACTGCTGATATTCCTCCTTAAAAAGGATCCAGGATCCTGAAATGGTTTGGACAGTAAAAGCAATTCCCTTTCAATACAGTTGCTCAGACTGGCAAGGGCTTGCAAGCTTCTAAGAAATGCCCAGCGCTGTCCTTCCCAGACTCAGCTTTCTGCTCTACTCCCTGCAGGCTTCTGAGATGTCCTCTGAGAACCATCGATTCTGCAACATCAAGGTAAGAGGCTCCAGGAAATGGCTGTGGTGGAGACCTCCTTCCCCCTCTGAGGAAATGCCTCTTTGCCTTTGTGAGGAGGTTACTTTGGCTCTTGATCCTTCTATTCCTCTAATCCCCGGGGCTGACTTCCAGGTATCCAGACTATTTAACCAAACCCTCCTCCTGTCCTTAAACCCACGGGTGCCCTGCCTTGCCTGTTTCTTCTCCAGGATCAGGGATGGTGTGTGGCGGGGAGGGCCCTGTGCACTCTCTCCCTGCCTCCCTGGCACCCACAACACACACCCTGGAAGTGACGGAGGCTCAGCAGGGATGCTGGTTGGTCACCAGCTCTGCATCCTAACATTCTAGGGCTTTCTCCAGAAGTGTGCTGAGAGCTCAGCCTGTGGAAAGAGGGCTGGAGTAGGAGCCGCTTAGACCTGGCCTCGAGCCTAGGAGATGATTGACTGCCTGTGTATAAAAGGGTGCCGAGGCCCTGGGGACCTTCCTCCACTCGGGGGAGTGCAGCTCTCCCCACAGTCCTCATTCCTCTCACCCCCTGTGACAGTGCTACATCGATGGCCCTTATGGAACCTCCACCCGCAGGATCTTTGCCTCGGAGCACGCCGTGCTCATTGGGGCAGGTATCGGCATCACCCCCTTTGCCTCCATCCTGCAGAGCATCATGCACAGGTGAGTGCACAGAGCATGGCCCCACCCACATCCTGGGCCTGTCCTGACAGCGGCCCCCCTCGATGCTCCCACTTTCTAACCCCTCCTTTCACCTCTCCCCCTCCCCTCTTCTCTTCCCTCTCCTCCTTGTCCTCTGCCTTATTTTGTGTCTCATCTCCTCTTCCTCATAGGGTGGGCTCTGCCACCCCATCCTTACTTCCTACCTTCTACACTATTCTCTGGGGTCCTGAAAAGTCTCAATTACCCCCCAAATTAAAAACCCCCTCCTCCTGCTTCCCCTCAGGCACCAAAAGAGAAAGCACGTTTGCCCCAGCTGCCAGCACTCCTGGATGGAGGGCCTCCAGGACCACGACATGAAGCTGCACAAGGTGGGTGCCACCTCCCGCAGGCAGACCTCCGGACCTTCTCCCCAACACCTCCCGGAGCAGGAGCCAGTGCTCCCGTGCAGAGACAGGAAGGGATACCCTACCTCTCCTCTGCTGGGACCCCCTTGTTCCTTCCAAGTTGTTCTTTCTCTTTCTTTTCCTCCAAAATGCCAGCTCTCCTGGTCCCTCCTAAATGTCTAGGCCTCTGCCATCAACATTCTTGTCACTTCTGAGAGCCCGCTGGGCCCTGAAAAGAAGCACCTTCAGGGACCCAGCTCCAAGCCTCATGCTTACCATCCATGACCCAATGGTGGTTTCAGAGATGAAAACATGTTTGCCTTTTGGAAAGTCATTATTGTGCACAGGGAACTAAACAGTAATTTTGCATAGCTGTCTTTCCCGAGCTGATATCTCAGAACACTGCTTACAAAGACAAATTCTAGCTTTGGAGTCAGGAACCTGGGTCCTGGTCATGCTGTTCTGGAAACTGGGCGAGTCTCTTTACTTCTGTGTGTCTGTCTTCCCCTCTGACCATGTGTAGACACTGGGGGTCCTCAGGGCCCAGGGACCACAAATGTGAGCACGCTGTCAATGAGGGAGACCCTCCTCTGAGCCGAAGCCCCTCTCTCTAGGTGGATTTCATCTGGATCAACCGAGACCAGAGGTCTTTTGAGTGGTTTGTGAGCCTGCTGACCAAACTGGAGATGGACCAGGCCCAGGAGACACAAGATGGTAGGAGAGGGACAGGTCCTGCAGCCTGTGGGGAGGGACTGGGGAGTCAAGGTCTCTTTTTAAAAAATAATCTATTGAGGTAAAGTTCACATACCATAAAATGAACCATTTTAATATGAACTCAGTGTCTTTTAAAAAAGTGTTTGTTCCATTTCTATGAAAGATGGGGAAGGTCCACTATAATTTAATATTTTGTAAAGTTTTTTTTTTAAAGCAAAAAAAAAAAGAAAATGAGCCAGGCACAGTGGTGCACACCTGTAATCCCAATGGCTCAGGAGGCTGAAGCAGGAGAATCACAAGTTCAAAGCGACTTAGCTAAGCCCTAAACAACTCAGTGAGACCCTGTCTCTAAATAAAATACAAAAAAGGGCTGGGGATATGGCCCAGTGGTTAAGCACCCCTGAGTTCAATCCCTGTACCAAAAAAAAAGAAAAAAAAAGGGAGGGGAATCACTCATAATTCCATCCATGGTCCAGATTACTCTAAACATATTAAAGAATTTTTTCCAAGTTCTTCTTTTCTTCTTCACATTTTATAAAAATGTATATTCTTTATTTTCATAACTGCTCTTTTTTATGGTATCTTTTAGATCTCCAGGCCCCACCTTGACCTTCTAGTTCAGCTCTCCTGAAGGCAGAGCTCAGCAGGGATGCACATTCCATCATGCTTCTAAGAAGAAGCATGATGGAATTGTTTTTTAGATTGTTTTTTGAGGCATCATTTACATACAACAAAATTAGAAAAATCTTTTGTACAATAAATACAATGACATTTTAACATATGCATGCAGTGTGTTACCACCACTACAACCAAATTATGGAACATTTTCATTACCCAAAAGGTTTCCCCATCTCCATCCCATGTTGGCAGTCAACATCTTCCCCTGACCGTTAGCCCTGGCAATAACCGATTTGCTTTCTATCACGACAGTCTGGCCTTTTCTAGATTTCATATGCATGGAATCATATGAATGTCCACTTCTTCTACTTATCATAGCACCTTGGGAATTATCCTCATTGTTGCAGGTATCCATAAACAGTTGAATTCATTTTTATTGCTGAATAGTATTCCATTTTACAAATATGCTACAATTTGTCTTTCCTTTCACTAGTTGATGGACAGTAGAGTTATTTCCATTTTTTTATTGACACAAGTTTTTGTATGGACCTTTATCCATATGTCTGTCAGGTAAATATTTAGGAGCGGGTTTGTTGAGTATTGTGGTAAATATTAAGTTCAATAGTGTAAATATCGCTGAACTACTTTTCCAAAGCAATTATTCCATTCTACATTTTCGTCAGAAGTGAACGAGAGTTCCTGGTGCTCCATACCTTCATCAGCCTTTTTTGTTTCAGCCATTCTAGTGGATGTGAGTGATCTCCTAATGTGCTCTGAACTGCATTTTCCTAGTGACTAGTGATGCTGAATATCTTCTTGTGGGCTTGTTATTACATGTTCTTTGTGTTTTTTTTTTATTGGTGTGTAATAATTGCACATAAAAGAGGGATTCTTTGTGACATATTTGTACACATACAGAAGTTTTTGGCTTATTTCATTTCCCAGTACTCTCCTTTTTCTTTCCCTTCTTACTCCCCTCAATTCCCTTCTATTTGACCGGTCTCCTTTCTATTTTTGTGAAATCCCTTTTTTTTAATCCCTCTTTTTTCTCTAGCTGTTACATGTTCTTTGCGAGGTGTCTGTTCAAGTATTTTGCCCAGTTTTAAATCCAGATGTTTGTCTTCTTTTTACTTAGTTGTCAGCACTCTTTATATATTCTGGAAACAAATCCATTATTAGCTGGCTATTTTACAAAACGTTGTCTTTTCATTGTCTTAAACTGTCTTTTGAAGAACAAAGGTTTTACTTTTTTAAATATCTTTATTTTATTTATTTATTTTTAATGTGGTGCTGAGGATCGAACCCAGGGCCTCACACATGCTAGGCGAGCTCTCTACCTCTGAACCACAACCCCAGCCCCTTGTTTTACTTTTTAATGATGTCCAATTTATCAGTCTTTTCTTTTATTTCTCTTCTTTTTGTGTTATATTTAAAATCTTTATGTCACTCAAAGTCATGAGAATTTTCTCCAGTGTTTTCTGCTATATATTTTGTAGTTCAGCTCTTCATTTAAATTAGAATTTCTTAGTTTTGTCACTATTGACATTTTGGGCCAAATCATTTCTTATTATATGCATAATTCCTATGCATCTTAGGATTTTAGCTACTTTTCAACCTCTGTTCACCAGAAAATAGTAGTACCCTATCCCTGTCATGAAAATATAAAATACCTCCAGATATTGTCAAATGTCTGTGGGAACAAAATTGCCTTCTTTTTAGAAGCACTTATTTAAATAACTATCCATTCAAAATCAATTTTGTATAGATGAGAGTTAAAGGTAGAAGTTAATTTTTACATATGAATACCCAGTTAATTTTTTTTCCAAGGATTTCTAGTCTCACTCCAAGAACCAGAGACAGAGGCCAAAGTCTTCATTGCACAACAGAGGTGGATACATATTAAGGATCTTTATGACTTCTTGATGAATCGACCACCTTCTCATTATATAATATCCTTCATCTCTGATAATATACCTTGTTCTGAAGTCTATTTTTTTTCTGAAATCAATGGAGCCATTCTAGTTTTTTTTAAAAAATTAGTTATGCTATAATATTTCTTTTTCCATTCTTTTTACCAGTCTCATTGTTACATTAAAAGTGAGTTCCTTCTATACAACCTATAACTCTTTCTTTTTAAAAATGCAATTTGATAATATTTGCCTTTTAATTGGAGTTTCTAGCCCATTTATATTTTACATAATTATTGATATAATTGTGTCCAAATCTACTATCCTGGTTTTGTTTTCTGTTTGTCCCTCTCTTTTTTTTTCCTTTCCCCCTCTTTTTCTGTGTAGTTTAGGATTAATTGTATGTTTTTATAATATCATTTATCTCTGTTATTTAATTACTAACCATATTGCTTGATTTTATTATTCCTGTGGTTGCTATTGGGCTTAAAATATACATCTTTAACATTACAGTCTATCTTTAAATACTATTACACTACTTATTGCACAGCATTATCCTTACCATAATTTCTCCTTTATTGTCATTTTACTACTACATGTTATAAGTCCTACAGTACCTTGTTATTTATTTTGCTTTAAATAGTCAATTATCTTTCAAAAAGAAATTTAAGGGGCTGGGGTTGTGGCTCAGTGGTAGAGCACTCACCTAGCATGTGCAAGGTGCTGGGTTCGATCCTCAGCACCACATAAAAATAAATAAATAAAATAAAGGTATTATCTAAGGTCATCTTTAAAAAAAATTTTTTTTTAAATTAAAATAAACCTCTTTTACATTTATACACATACTTACCATTTCTGGTTCATTTCATTTTTGTGCGTATTTCCAGATTTCCATCTGGGATAATTTTCCTTCTGCTTGAAAAACTCCCTATATCATTTCCTGTGTTGCGTATCTAAAATAATGCAGATGATAATTCCTTTAGCTTTTGATTTTCCACCAGAAGTCTTTTTCCCACCTTAGCTTTTTTTTAGTTGTTTTTTGTTTGGGTACTGGAGGATTGCACCCAGGGGTGCTTTACCACTGAGCCACATTCCTAGCCCTTTTTATGTTTTATTTTGTGATAGAGTCTCACTATGCTGCTGAGGGTCTTGCTAAATTTCTGAGGGTGGCTTCGAACTCTGGATATTCTTGCCTCAGCCTCCCAAGCTGCTGGGATAACAGGTATACACCACTGTGCTCGACCTCACCTTGATTTTTTAACAATATTGTTATCAGTTAATTTTTTTCCTTTGCTTCTTTAAAGATTCCCTCCATTGTCTTCTGGCTTGCATAGTTTCTGACAAGATAACTCTTGTACTTATCTTTATTCCTCTTTAGTAATTTTTCCTCTTTTTACCACTTAAGATTTCCCCCCCCCCCTTATTATGATGACTCTTTGTGTGTTTTTGTTTATATTTCTTGTTCTCAGAGGTCATTGAACTTGTAGAGCCTAGAGTTTTTATCAAATTTGGAAGTTTGTCAGCCATTTTTTCTTTACATTTTTTTTCTTTTTTCCATTCTTGTCATTTTGATTATTCATATGTTAGACCATTTGATATTATCCTACAGGTCACTGAGAGAGTGTATTTCTTTCCCTGACCCCCACCCCACTTTCTTTTCATTTTGGATAGTTTTTATTGCTATGTCTTTATTTGCTAAGCCTCTAAGTTCATAGGTCTTTTCTTCTTCAGAGACTTTTCTGTTATTTCCATCCTAATCAAAATTTGAGCAGGTTTTAAAAAATTAGATGTTGACAAGCTGCTTCTAAAATTTATGTGGTAAATCAGAGGATTTAGAATAGCTGTTAATTCTATTCAATGTATTTTTCATTTCTGTTCTTGTATTTTTCTTCAGTAGAAGTTCCATTTTATGTCTCCCATTTCTCTCCTTGTCGTATTTGTTTTGTTTATTTTGCTTTGATGTTATTAAGCACATTTATAATATGGTTTCAACATCTTTGTGTACTAATTCCATCATCTCTGTTATCTCTGGATGTTTCTAATTATTAATTTTCTCCCAGATAAATCTTTTTTTTCCTTCTTCTTCTTTGTATGTATGATTATTTTTTTGTTGGATACCAAGCAATTTGAATTTTAAATTGTTTTGTTTTTTAGATTTTGTGACATTTTATTTTAATAGTACTGTACTTTGTTCTGGTGCACAGCTGAGTAATGTAGGACTCTGTGGATCCTTTTAAGACTCTCTTTTAGCTTTTGCTAGAGGGTGTCCAGAGCAGAATTTCACATATTTAGCCCTAGAACTAAGATGACACACTTCTGAGGAGTCTGCCTAGTGTCCATATATCCCACCATCTCTCCACTCTTTCTTGGTAGGAATACAAATTCCCAGCTCTGCTGGAATGCTAGGTATTATTCTTCTTAGTGTTTTCTGGTAATTTTCTTTCACACGTGTACAGACTATCACTCAGCCAAAGA